TTAATTCAGCCCATTGTGATGCTATCTGCAGGAGCTGCTTTTGTGGAGGGTTTTTGCTCATTACGTGGGGGCATCTGCCAGCATTTCCCAGCCTCAGGTCCCAGCCTCAACATTGCTCCGAGTGCTGTGAGGTACCAGGAGCTGAGGCTTGTACTGCTGCCCCCCCCTTCCTAGCCCCCACCCCAGCCCCCTGGTGCTCTGCTCACGTGCTGGAGCCCTGCTCACAAAGTGAGCTGGCAAATGATTAACGTGTGTGTGAAAGTCAGATGTGTTTTGTGTGGATTGCAGGCAGCTGGACCAGAAAGGAGGGGAGAGAATGAAAAAGGGGAAGAGGAAGAGAGAGGAGAGGAGAGGAGAGGAGAGGAGAGGAGAGGAGAGGAGAGGAGAGGAGAGGAGAGGAGAGGAGAGGAGAGGAGAGGAGAGGAGAGGAGAGGAGAGGAGAGGAGAGGAGAGGAGAGGAGAGGAGAGGAGAGGAGAGGAGAGGAGAGGAGAGGAGAGGAGAGGAGAGGAGAGGAGAGGAGAGGAGAGGAGAGGAGAGGAGAGGAGCGGAGAGGAGAGGAGAGGAGAGGAGAGGAGAGGAGAGGAGAGGAGAGGAGAGGAGAGGAGAGGAGAGGAGAGGAGAGGAGAGATACAAAAGAAGAAAGACAAAAGAAATGGAAAAAAACAACTGAGATCAAAGCATCCTATGGAAGCAGCCCAGTCTTACGTGGTGCTGTGTGCCAGCGAGTGCTCCCTGAGGTGCTCTGGTGTTGGACGGCATGCCCTCAGTGCTGTCTGGAGGAGAAAGACAGGGGCTTCGCTGTCTTCGTCCTCCTGGATGAAGCCAGGAGCCCTGCAGGGTGCTGGGGGGGAACTGGGGGTGGCTGCAGGATTCTGCACCAATGTGTGTGCAGGTGGCCAGCCCCTGGGGAGCCTCTGGGGGCCAAGCGGAGCCCCAGAAACTGTCATGAGAATGAGGGATGGGAGGAGGCAGGGTGCTGGTGGGGGACATCCTGCTGCCCCCGATCCATCCTGGCACAGCCCCTCGCACAGAGCAGCCCCTTGCAGTCCCAGGGTGCTGCCGTATGTGTGCTTGGGTGGACTCCTGGGGGCCACGGCACCGGCTGGGCAGGAGCCCTGCTGGCTCTGCTGTCTTTTCCCAAAAGCACTCAGCCCCCGTGGCTGCCTCCGCGCTCGTCTCGTGGAGCTGACGCCGTGTCAGCACACGCAGGCGCCGGATCATTCGCAGCTAAAATGTTCCGTTTGCAGCAGAGGGTTAGAAAACAAACAGCTCTTCCAAAACAAATGGGACTCATCGGCCCGAGCAAAGGAGAGAGCTGCCAAGAGGCTGCTGGGAGTAAAAGGCCACACAAACATTGGTTTAATCCCTCCGTCCTCCTGCCGTCAGCAGGGATGCTCTAGCAACATTCCCGCAAGCTCATGCCCCGAGCTGCTGAAGGGCACCAGGGGCTGCCTGAGGGTCGCTCCTTGCCCCCATCTCCTGAGCTCCTGCCTGTGCCTTTGGAGGGGAGCAACATTCAGGGGCACAACAGTGAGGACCAGGGGCTCTTTTCCTCTTTGTTGCATGCTCCCCTGCTCAGCTGTGGCACCAAGCCCCCTTGGGCTACCCCAGTCCCCAGGATGTGTGCATCCATGTGGGGACAAAACTGGGAACATCTGGTCCAAGAGGAGAGCAGCACAGGGCTGGCTTCGTCTACATGCCTCATCTGTGGGCACCGAGCCAGTGCAGTGCCCAGGCCATGGCTCTGCAGGTTCTTGGGATCCCAGAAGTGAAGCTGGTGAAGAAAGATGGAAGGTTTCCTTCAAGGTGCAAAGAGAGAGGGTGAGAGGTGGCAGCATGAGCTGGGACAAAGGAAATTCACAGTAAATGCAAGGGCAAATCGTGAGGCCATCGTGAAGGTGGTCAAATATTGGAGTAGGGGCCTGGAGAGGGGTCGGAATCTGCCCTTGGGGACACTCAGGTCTTGGCCAGGCCAGCTTGGGAGCAGCTTGCTTGGAGCTGGCTCGGGTGGGAGTGGGGCTGGGGGAATCCTCAGAAGGGGCCAGAGCCCTGCAAGCCCTGCAAGAGGTGTGGAGCTGGGCTGGGGACAGGGTCCCTGCTGGAGGGGGCCACGGGTGAGATCCCCACACTTGCAGCCCAAATGGGGCAAGAGCAGGGGGGCACAGGGACTGCTCCCCTTGCTCCCCTGCTGAAGCCCTGCGTCTGTCTGCTGTGTCCTTGCACCCTTTTTTCTGGATTCATGCTTGGCTCTCATGGCCTGGAGACCACCCTGCTTCCTCCTGCTCCTTTTCCTCCTCTCATTCTCCTTCAACATTTTGCTCCCCGAAGGCCCAGCATGGGTGCCCTATGCGCATGGTGCCTTGTGTTGTCTGCTTCAATCTTGATCACCAGAACCACCGAAAAGGCAAATGTCCTCTGCAGAACCTGGTACAAGTCTCAGCAGTATCTGGAAAGTGTAGAATCCACACAGAAAATGTTTATGGAAGCGGAAAAAAATATCAAAAGGTAGAGGAAAGAGAGAAGAAGACAGCCCAGCAGACAGACAGCAACCCCACGAGACCTTCCCCTCGGGAGCAGGAAGTGGGAAACATAAGGAGCCATTTATTTTAAGTAAACTATAAATATCGGACTACAACAAACGCATGTAAGAAAAGAAAAGTTGGTCCAAATCCAAAGATTTCCAAGAGGTCTTGAGCAAACATGTGTGATTGAGTCTGGCAACTCTGTGTGTGCGTGTGTGCTGGTGCGCGTGCTAATCAAGGGCTGCAGAGCAAGATAGAGCGTAATCCCCCCAAATGAAAACCAGATCGAATTAAAAATCAAGACAAGAATGCAACGGAGTCTCGAGGCCAGTGATAAGATCAGTGTGCGGGGGGTGGGCCGTGTCCCCTTTTGGTTTGTCAGCGTCTGGTGGGCGCACCCGCATGGGGCCTGCCATGGTCAGGGAGGAGCTGGGGCAGCGCTTCTCCACCACTGGGACCAAAAAGGCCCCTCGGGGTGTGCTGGGGAGCATGGCCTGGCATGAACAGAGCTCCTGTCTCAGGGACACCCCCGAGGTCTGGTGGCTGGGCATTTGGCACTTCCTTGGGGGTGCCCGTGTGCGTTATTGCAGTGAAATGGGGGGTCCCGCAGGCAGCAGAGCCCGGCCGTCAGTCACCAGGGTGTGGTGGGGGCCCAAACTGTGGGCCAGGAGGGACCACTTGTCTGTGTGGTACTTTGGGGGCACTGTGGCTCTGCTGTAGCCTCAGCTCAAAGCCAGCAGAGCAGCTTGTGGAGCCAGGGATTGAGGCACACCTCGTCCTGGCTTCTCGATGCCGGAGCAGCTCTGTGCCAGCACACGCCGCCCCTGGGCCCTGCCTGGAATATGGATGGTGCTGGAGGCGGCTCTGGGGCTGGGCCCAGACCCAGCCTCTCACCTCTGCTGCGAGGCACTGGCACTGGGATGCCTGCTGGCATCACCTACCAAATCAGTCCCTCACACCCTAAACTGGCAGGCTCAGAAAGCAGGTCCTGGGACACAGAGCTTCGGCCTCAGCCCACAGCCCTGCCGCCCGATTGCACCTCGCCAGTGCTAGTGGCTCTGTGGTCATACTTGGGCATCTTTCAGCTGATCTGACGAGCTCAGTTTATGCCTGTGTGCGCACAGGCCTTGGCAGCCTGCTTGTAGAGTCCTGCTTTAACCTCAGGCGGGGAATAAATCTGATGGGCACGAGGGTGCTGGCCCTTGTCACGCTCCCAGGCTTGATGACAATTAACATATTGCTCCGTGAACGGTGCCTGCTTTGTGTGACCGCTCTTATCTCAGCGAGCTGACATGTTTTGCCCTGTATTTTCACCCGTGTGAAGTATCACCCTGGCCCTACAGGCCGGCTTGGCTTTCCCACACTGCCCTCCCGGCAGCGGGACGTGCCAGTGGTTCTGCTGTGTGGTACGGCCCCATCCCTCCTGACAGGGCCTGAAGCTCAAAGGAGGCACAGGAGGGGGGACAGGGACCCCTGCAGCACCCCTGGGGCTGGGTTGGGGATATGAGCGGCTGCAGAGCCCACGGTGAAACCTGTGGCAGGTTCACCCCAGCAGCCTGGCTGCTGTGGCTTGTTGTTGTTGGATGGCCACCTTGGCGGGCGGCTCATGGGCCTGCGTGCTGCTGCCATGGGGCTGCTCCCTCTGAAAGGGCTGTGCTGGGGTGGGCGGCCGTCATCTGGCAGCCAGGACCCAGCAGGGCTTTGAGATCCTGGTCCCACTGTGCTGGGACAGTCCCACAACGTCCCCCCTTGGAAGCCCCAGGATGGGGCAGGATGTGATGTGCCACCCCCAGGGTGACGGCTGGTGGCTTCCCAGGGTGGCCGGTGCCCAAACTCATCCCACACGGCCCTTTTTGTTCTCTCCAACTTTCACCAAGTTGGAGGGTGCTGGAGTGAACCAAGCCTGGCCAACACTCGCTCCACGATGCCTCATGCTGTGCACGGGAAGCCACCAGAGGGAGGTGTCCATCTCCTCAGCTCACAGCCATCAGCGCTGCCTGTTTGATCCTTCAGGAGAAGCAAAGTACCCAAGTGTGCTCAATGCCAGATGCGTCTGCGGTATTACAAATAATCCAAGTAACAGATTACTGTGTCACCACTTGTTTGCTCTGTGTGCCACCAGCATTGTCTTACATCTCTGTGGTCACTGCGGCCTCTCCAGCTGCCATCACTTGTCACCATCAGTCACACGCACTACCCTCAGACTTGGCCATTAGGCAGATTAGCCTTAATTGGTACTGCCCGTCATCACTAATCATTATCTTCATTGTCAGCTTCAACACCACCCAATGCCTACAATTTCCACTTATTAGGAGCGTGGAGGATTCTTTGGCGTGTGGTGTCTCTGATCCCAGATCAGATATTCTGTCTGAATGGGACTCCCCGGCTGGGTGTCACATGCGGGGACCCCAGCTCCGTGAGTGGGGTCTGCTGGTGCTCCCAGCACGTTGAGCAGCTTTGTCTCCTCTTGGCTCCGAATCCTGCTCTTGTTTCACCTGCTGCTGGCAACGGGATACAGCTGTGGTGAAACGGGACCCATCTCGTGCTCCCTCGGGGCCTGGGTGAGCTAAGGGGGCTTGGGCCATCACACCAGGCTGCCCCAGGTCTCTGCTGGGACTGCGTTTTGCACAGGCTGAAAGTGGGACGTGGCAGCAGCCGGCTCCCTCTCCATACCCCTAGGGTTCTCAGTTGGGTCCCTCTCTGTTTCCACGGGCTTTTTGGGCAGGAGCAGGCACCCAACAGGTGGACACGTGGGACTGGTGTCCTTCGGCTGCTTGAAGCTTTGCTGCCAGGGTGCTCAAAGCAGGGCAGGCGCGAGGCAGAGGGATGGTGCCCGTGGGTGGCACCTCCGTGTCCCCTGCTGTGCCCTGGCTGGGAGGGCAGAAGGCACAACTCCTGTCTGATGTGCTGCCAGTCCCGGAGAGGGGGGGAGCAGCTGTGGCGTGTTTAGGAGGGACACAGAAAATATTGGGGTGGGCTATGGGGAAGGTCAAACAAACCATTTATTTTCAGTCACAGTGGTCAGATGTGAGCGTCTCTGTTTAGGAATCACATCCAGATGCTGAAGTTAAACATCTGGGCTTCACCCCTGTGTTTTGTCTACACCCCCTGAGCGCGGCACAGCCTTTGGAGCCATCTGCTGAGGCGCTCTCACCTCGTTCATCAGCCACCCCTCACCTCCAGCCAGGGCTCCCAGATCCCCTCCGTTTCCGCAGCTGTCACTGGTGCAATGAGCCCACAGGCCTCAGATTCACGGGTGTTTTGCTCTTGTCCCTGGGGAGGTGGGGAAACAGCAACGTGGGAGCACTTTTGGTACAGCTTTGAGTCGGACCTTTCATGTCCTGGAGAAGAAGAGGGCTCTTTGTGCCAGGAGGGGGGTGGACAGAGCATTCTTGTCCCCAGCGGGGAGCGGGGCTTGGTGCTCGCTACGTGCCTCCAGCCCTGCACCCACGGGGTGCCAGCCCTTCCGTGGAGGTTTGTGTGCCGGGCATCTGCTGCCCAGGCAGCTCACGTCCTGTTGAGCAACTCAGCTGGCACAAACAAATCAATCTGTGGGAGGAGGTCTTGAAAACCTAAGTGCAGCCAGTGCTGGAGCATAGCTGGCGGCGTGGCCGTGCTGCAGCGAGGCTGGTGCCGGCCAGGCTTGTTCCTGCAAGGCGCCAGGAGCAGGGTGACCCTGATGGAGACGGGGCTGGGTGGGCAGGGGGCTGGGACTGCCGCAGCTGCCCCCACAGTTCCAAGTTCCTGAAAATCTCTGCAAGAGAAAGACTCTCCCGGTGTCCCCAGCCTGCTCACATCTGTCTATCACCCAGTTTCCAGTGCTGCAGACTTGGGAAGGCTGCAGTGGGGCACTGGAGAGCCTAAAGAGGGACCTGAATTGCAGCTGTGGTGACAGTCCTGCTTTCCCGTGCAGGAGCCCGAGGCTCAGTATATTTTACAGTCTTGTACCAAGGACACTCATCACCTCTGGAACTGGCTGAATAGTGGAACAGTTTCCTTTCTGGAGGTTAACCATCAGTGACTGATGGCAGAGATGGGGTTTTGAAGCAGAGCTGGACAAACACAGCACTGAAATCTTCCTGGGTACCATGGAATCTTCAACATTCGGATTTCAATTTAAATACCCCAATTGATTCTTCTTGTTCAGAAGGGACTAAAGAGCAAGAAGCCCCTTGTTCAGCTGGAATCCTCCATCCTCAAAGCTCGATGGTGGCGAAGCATCCTGTGCTGCCTGTAATAGCTGCACTGTGTATCAAGGAACCCTGCACCTACTGCTTCCCACCCAGAGACCTGGAACAGGCTTACCAAGAGATGTCCCTTCTGTTTCACACGGGGAAAACAAAGCCCTGAGACACGTCCCCTTCCCTAAGGCAGGCAGCAGAGTCGGGGGCAGAGCTCTGGTCCCCAGCACCTCTCTGTGGTGAGCCTGCTACAAGGAGACCTCTCCAGCAGGGTTCTTGGCTGCTGACAGAGGAGGATGAGCCATTGCCAGGAGCAGAGATCACAAACCTGGATGGGAAGTGCAGCTTCATGGTCAGCGCTTCCTTGGCTCAAAACTTCAGGCACATAAAGATCAAAGAGCTTTCCCATGCTTTGCTTCATTCTTCTGCTGGGAAACTTTGTAAATGTTCTGGCACAGGCAGCCTTGAAGCACCTTCTCAGTGAAGATCAGATCCAAGATAATAAAAGAGAAATTTGGTTCCTTTCAGGGCTTCCAAGGGGAAGGGATTCTGAGCACAAGCTGGAGCAGCAGAGCCTGGGTGTGTTGGCAGTGCCCCCGGTCCCATCTCCTCCAGCTGGGGCTGGGAGAGCCGCTGGCTCTGGGTCCTGGATGCAAAGCCCAGTCCCTATTTCCCAATGGCTGGCTCCGTGCACAGGCAGCTCTGCTCGGGATGTGTCAGCTGCGGGCAGGCAAAACTGACCTTCATGTGTCTGGCTCCACAGGGTGCATCGTCCTTCCTTTGCTTTTTTTTTGGTCTTTTAATCCCATTTTTTTCCTGAGAGTTCAGTTCTGCCGTGCCGAGGTGCAGTCACACGTGGTGGTGGGGCTGATGCTTGCCTCCTCCTGCAGGGGATGGAGATGGGGGTCAACCCAGCAGTGCCAGCAGCCCCGGTGTGCTGAATGTGCTTTGTCTGCTGCCTGCCCATGCCCTGAGCCTGGAGAAATGTGGGGTCTGGCTGCAGGGAGCTGAGCAGCAGCTGCAGGGACCATGCGTGGTACTGCTGTTGGCAGTCCTGGCCCTCACCTGTGACATGAGCTCTGTCCTGCCATCAGATTTCTGGCCTCCTGTTCGGGCAGGCCAAGCCTGAAGAGACATTTGGAGCTGATTAATTAGTCAAAGGCAAATAAGTCTAGAAATAAGGAACAGCTGGCCACCTGAGATGGAGACCAGCAGTAGGTTTATTTCAAGGCCAGAGGCAGCAAGCAGGAGCTTGGGAGGGTTTGGGGATTTGTCGCAGCTAATGGCTGTGTGACAAAGTCTCCTTGTCCCTGGAAGCTGTCCCCTTGGGGCTGGCTGGTGATGCTCTGCAACACCTTAGCTGCAGTTATTGTTTAGCCTGGCCAGCAGGAAGGCTTGCCTTATGCCTCCAGTTGGCTGTGGTTCAGAAAGGGATCAGAGAAATGCTGGTGAGTGGGTGGCTGTTGAGCTCAGTGATTTGGGTGTCCCGGAGAGCCGACTACTGCTGGGAAGGTCTCTCTTGAGCTCTTCTAATTTTCCCTAAACATCCACAGTCAGCTAATACTGGGCACCCAACCCTGGCCACACAGGCCTTCTGATGTAACCCTGTGCGGTGAATTGAAATGCATCCCCGTGAGCTCCCTACAAAACTCATCTTTCTGGCCTCTTTTTTTTGCCTCTTCTTCCTGAGCGTAGGTCCCAGAATTTGCTTTTGTCCTCAAGAGGCTGGAAAAATCAACTTGTTAAAATCTTCTGTGGGATGGAAAGTTCCAGAAAGAGGAAAAAAAAAAAAATGAGGGCAGAAATTCTCAATTCAGCAAACTTCACTTGCATATCTCATGCTCCAGGCTGTGCCCTCCGAGCTGGCCGGGAGGCTCCAGCCTCTGCACTGAGCTGCACAGGGACTTCGTCCCTGCAGGCTGGGGCCCTTGGGGTGGGACTGGTGGTGAGCAGCAGCAACCTGCGATGCCAAGAGGGGTCACGGGATGCTGCATGGCAAGCTGACCTCAGGCTGCTCTGCTTCGGCTCTACAAGCCTGAGGCTTGGCCTTTGGGGGAAAACCAGAACTTTCTTGCGGGGAAAAACATTACTTTTGCAGAAGCTGTGTTTTCCACCAGAAAACTGCTGACCAGAAACGCTGTGGGCAGACGAGGCTTGGCTGAATAAAGAGTGCAGCCCTTGTGTGGGGTGTCCCAGAAGTGGGGTGAGGCTGTGCCTGCTGTAGGCACCTCTGCTCTGACCCCGAGCTCATCAGACGGGGGGCTGAGGAGTCCGAACACCCGCCCTGGGGCAGCAGCTCGTCCCTGCAGGAAGGACAGATGACCAGCCAAAGGCACAAGCACGTGTCTCTGGCTAGGTTGTATTTTCTTGGTGGAGGAGGAGGAGGGGAGCTCCCAGATCTCATCTCACACCTGGGCTCTCACTGGGTGCCCCCACTGAGCCTCTCGGTCCCCGTGAGGCAGCAGGATGCTGAGCGGTTCTCGATGACAGGCAGGCACGGAGAGCGTGCAGCCTGCACCTCGGACAGGTCTGGCATTTCTTCGTGGGAGAGCAGCAAACCAAAATGTCTTGTCTCTTTAATTCCCCTCCGGACTAGGTGTCTCCATGGCCTCCTGCCCCCTCTCAGTGTTGTTATTAGGCCCAATTTGTGCAGCAGATTAACTTGTCCCTGAGGTTGGAAACAAGTTTCCATTTTCTGTGAAAACACATTAATTAATAACACTGGAGATGTTGCCGTTTTGTCCATCTGCAGAGAAGCGAGGTCTGACAGCACCTAACACGAACCAGCTGCTCCCTGCTCCGAGCTGCCCCGGGCACTCCCCCCGTCCCGTGCCCAGCAAATTACAGCATCTATTTTGGAGATTTGGGGCCGGGGAAGCCACGTCCCCTCCGGCTCACCTGGGCTGCAGGGGAAGAGGTGCGGGATGTCGAGCACGGCCACGCTGAGAGCTCAGGCTGGAGATGAGCTGCAGCAGCTTGCGGTGATGCCACGGGGATGAAGCACCGGGCACCCCGGGCTGGTGCTGCTGGCATGGTAGGGGACAGGCTCCCCACGGGATGAAGGGAAGAGCTTGGGCTTTGCTGCTCACGGGGTGCTGGCTGGGTTGCAGGTGGGCACCATGAGCACAGGGCTGGGCGGTGTGGGATGAGGTACAGCTGTGCTCCGACTGCTTCCCCAGCACTGGGCTGCTCTTGCTGGAGCCGCAGCCTGCCGAGGGAAAGTTTCCAGCCACTGTGGAAAACCCAAAATGATGAGTCAGAGGGCTCAGAAACCAGAAGGTGAAGGAACAGACGGCTGTTTATTAAAAAAAAATTTTGCAATCTCACAGTTTTTAAGCTCATCTTGTTGTTTTTCTGGCTTTCCTAGACAATCATGTTGGGAAGGTGTGGGCACGCCTTGTCTGTGCCTGTCCTTGGGGACTTTTTAATGGGTTGGCAGGCTTCAGACCAATTCCGACACCGGATCCTACAGGTTACATGGCAAGATGCCACCGCCTCGAGATCCAGACCAGAGCAGCTCCTCTTCCAGTGACCAGAGGGATGTGGTGGGAGACGGCTTCGGTCTGGCTCCCTGGTGGGCACCAGTGAACCCAGCCAGGAGGTGAATTTTTGGAGAAGTGGCCAAGCTGCTCCTGGGGCTGGTGGCATTGGTGACATCTTTGTGTGGATCTCACCTGGTTTCTGAGCACGTGGGGTGGTGCTGGAGCATTACTGTGAGCTCTGTGGGTCGCCAAACGAGCATTTAGTGTGGGATGAAACATGTTGGGGTGCTCCCAGGCTGGTGGGCTCAGTTCTGCAGGAGCAGGAGCCCACTGCTGCCTTCCTGGCTGCCACGGGGCTGCTGCTGGGCAGAGTCAGCCCCGACCGGCTCAGCAGTCGCGGGGTGGTGCTGAGGGGGGGTCTTTTCTCTCAGCAGACTGCCACTTCTAAGCCCATCTTCATAGCGCGGGCTGGCTTTGAAGGAGAGCTCCCAAGTATGCGTTTCATTAAGATTTAATAAAGCAGCTGCCTGCTCCTGAAGCACAAAATGATTATTAGACCCTTTATTGAGGATTAATAGCTATGTAATCAGCACGTATCTGGTTCCTACAGGCATCTATTACATAGCTTCTAAACCTCAGTGAATATGTTTCTAATTGGCCTTTAAGAACATGCTGTTGCTTTATTAAGCCCTAATTAAATGCATATTGGGTGAGGTCCATTCAGAAGTGGTTATTGTGAACTACTTGTCATTACCTAATATGTGCAACCTAATGTGTGTTCAGCTTATTTGCTCTGTTAATTATTATATTTTATGGCCTTTGTTTGGGCTTTGTGTCTGTAATTTGGATCGCATATGTTGTTTTCCCCCCTGTTAGAAGTGTTCTGAAGCCGTGGGTGCTACTGTCCAGGGAGCAGAGGACTGAGCAGGCATCGCTAGGGCGGGTGGCAGAGATCCTGCAGAGATCCTGGCGTTGGCACGGGCTGGCTCCTGCCTGAGCTCCTGCAGCGAGGAGGCCACCACTTGGACCTCAAGTCCTGCCTTGCTCCTGGTCTGCCAAGCAGGGGGACAGGGCTCCTTTGCTGTCTGCACGTGGGCTCAAAGCTCCATCAGTCATCTCCTACAGGTATGCAAGCCCGTTCCTCAAAACCTTGTGTCCAAAAGCTGTGATGCACCAGGTATGACAATTAAGGGGAGATCAGAACATAGATGCTGGCTGCACAGCAAAAGGGTGGATGCAGTGGGGATCTCAGCAGAAATGAAGGGCTGCAAGGGCAGCTGGTCAGCAAGGTGCTGGCGGGACGATGCTGTGTCCGACCAAGCAGGTTGGCTGGGAACCAAGTGTTCTGGGAAGCTACTTGGACAGAGGTTGGGTTCGGGACCTCTTTTTTATTTTTGTTTTTCAGTGCCAGAATATCTCAACTCAGCAGGTTCAGGACAGGACAGGTTTGGGAGGAAACGACACTTTACTGTAATTTGCTGTTGTGTCATCTTGTCTAAGGCAGAATGGAAAAGTCAAAAATCAAGGAAAGTCGGAAGTGGAGCAGAAATCCTTCAGTTTGCCCAAAGCAAGCCTTTTTTTTTTTTTTTTTTTTTTTTTCTTCTGAGGGAGAGAGGAAGGAATTTTCCATTGTTGGAGAATTTCAAAACTCCCCAGAGCTGCTGGGAGGGGATCGTGCCAGCCGTGAGCACTTTCCCAACACCCGGTTCCCATCCTTGGCTTGGCACTGCCGCTGCCGTTTCCAGTGGACGGGGGCAGTGCGGGGATGCCTCCACGGGCAGTGCCATGAGGGCACGCGTCTCCGTCCAGCTCTGCGGGGAGTGCATGCTCTGCGTGGCCAGAGGCACGTAATTAGGCATTTAAATGGAAACCAGCTCATCCGGGGACTGTGCTCTTTGCAATTTGGGCTGCCGCTGTCCGTCCGTGCTCCAGCATCCTACATGGGGTGAGGCTCAGCTCTTGGCCCCGTGCTGCCCTGTGTGGGCTCTGGTCAGGTCCCTGTCCCTCCCGGGCTGCCTCTTGGTCCTCAGCCTGGGCTTTCTGCAGCTCTGCCGTGTGACTGCTGGGATAAATACAGGCGGATGCTCTGATTCATGGAGAATAAGCACCTTGCCCCAACTTTCACCTCCAACTTGAACTGCCCCCAAGTCAAACTTGCTAACATTTGAAAACGTTTGGTTAACTCCCCTCCCTCGCCTTTATTTTATTTTTTTTTTAAGGTTTTGCAGCCTTTGTACTTTCTACATCCCTGCTGGAAGCAAAGGTGCCAAAATACTTCGCGAAAGCCTGTTCTTGCAGTACTTCCCAGACCTTCCCGCACTAGGAAATGCCGGAAATCGTGGGAGCAAGGCTGCTCCCTGGAGAGTCCTGACACAAGTTTTGCAGACCCTGAAGATCTGGAAAAGCCTAAACTTCCCAAGACATGGACTTCTCTCCAAAGCCAACAGGAACTCGGAAACTTTGGGCCTCTTGGTTTCGTTGCTCTGTAGACCCTGAATCTTTAAAGTCAACCTTTGTTTTATATTTATACGTTGCACGAATATACCCTTATTTTTCTAATTAGGGAGTCTGGGTCAAAAATTCCTCGTTAAAGCTGCCTGCAGGCCAGAGTTTGTCTTGCTTGACTTGAGGCCAAATCGCAGAGGTATCTGGGCTTGGAGCTGAATCTCCTCGCCTGCCTTCTGAGTTGGTGGAGGAAGCCAGAGCTCGGGGCAACTCTCCCAGCACAAGGGCTCCTCTTCCCTGCGCCCAGCGAGGGAGACCAAGCGTCGGCGTGAGCCGGTGCCTTGGGGGCCGGTGTGGCTGGACACCCAGCTGCATCCTGGTGGCATGGGGAGAAGGATGGAGCCTCGAAGGGCTAAAGCAGCATCACTGAGGTTAATGGGATGGGATACAGGGGATGTTCTCCTCTTCTGTCTGAATTTCAGTTGGCACAGAAATCCCCATCCAGCTCCCACCCATGACCTCAGATTTGAAAAAGAGAGAGTTCATCTTCCAGAGAAAAAACACTGTGGGGGATCCCATTTTTCGGGGCAGGGCAGACCTGGGGCCCTGGAGCTCAGCTGTGGGGCCACTGCCTTGGGCCAGATGCAGCTCCTTGGCCCAGTGCTGCCAGGCTCGGCTGGGGAAGCATCAGGGTGTGTAGAGCGCGTGGGTAGGCGAGGGGCGTGCGGGACGTGCTCTCCCCAGGCACACCAGCTCTTCAGGACTGGTTTGGGTTGAAGTTTAAGAACAGCAAACTATTGTCTGTTCATTTAACAGACCGTTTCCCAATGACTTTGCTCCAGGCTAATTCATTTCAATGGGTTTCCCCTTCCTGTAGATTTATCTTGCCTTTCTTCTCGTTCCTAGAAAATGCAAGGGAAAGGGGAGAAGAAGATGCTTCCTTTGGAAATATTGCACTGCTTACCTGCCCTGGAGGGGGAGAGATGAGGATTCACAGGGAAGCTGAAAAAGGAATCTTCCTTTTGAAATTTCCCTTAAAATAAAAAAGTAACAGTTTTGGCAAAGCCTTCTGGCCGCAATCTCATCTTGTTCCATTTCCAGACAGGGAGAGAAGCCTTGGGGGGCATTTTTCTGCTGCGTGGAGCCTCCTTTCAACTTGCTCCCACTCTGGTGGCAGCGTGGGGCTGTACCCTGGCACAAGACACCCTCAGCCCCTATGTGGGTGAGCCTGGAAAGCCGTGAGCTGCCGGCCTGGGTCCCTGCCCTGCTCCCCCCTGCTGGGGTGGTGGGCTGTAGGTCACACCCCAACCACCAGACTTTGTTCAGCTCATCCCGTGCACGGTTCCCATCCGTGCATCTGCGGTAGCTGAAGGCTTGAGCGACGTGATTTCCAGAGCTTTCCTGATGTGTCTTCTCCTGGTGGAAGAAGTACATGCCACGGTGCCCCCCGGCCTCCTGGCTGGTGCGTGTGGCCAGCAGTAGCCGTGCTGTGCCCCCGCGGTGCCCCCCAGCCTGCTGGCAGCGGGTGGAGGTGGTGGCCGAGGTCCCACCTCTGAGCAGAGCTGGATCCCTCCGGTCCCCCCTCCCTTGACGTTCCCCTTGGCTGTGGCTCAGCTGGCGGGAACCAGTGAGTCTCGCAACAAAGATGAGCAAAAAAATCCCTTCATGCCTCTAAAAGGAAGAAGGAGAGCACGGCAGAGACAGGCCGGCTGATACAGCTCCTCTCGCTGCTGCGGAGGCGGGGAGGCTTTCGGACAGGATTTATTTTGTATAGTCTTCCATGCAAACTGGATCCCCCTCCCCTCCCAGCCCTCTCCAGCCTTAAATCATATCCTTTGTAATGACATTTCATGCTTGTGTGGCGCCTTGCTTCTGAGCATCCCCAAGTGCTCCATAAATAATGGACGACTCCGAGCCTGCCAGGAGGACACGGTACCACCCTCCCGGTGCCCCTGTCACCAACAAAAGGTGACAAACCCTTCCCAGGGCCTCACCTGGAGGCTGGGCCGTGCCAGGATTCGGGGTGCAGCCTCCCCTGCCTCCCTCCAGCTTCTCCTTCAGCCCTGGCTGCTCCGGGGATGTCCCCTCTGTCCCTGTCCAGGTGCCTGGGGTGAGGTGCTTGGGGACAAGCAGCACCGGGTGGTGGCCGGGGGACACTGTCCTGTGGCCTGGTGAGCACTTTACAGCCATGCCTCCTCCTGGGGTCCTGCAGAAACCCTCACTGGGGCTACAGGGCCAGCGATAAAGACACACTCCATTTTCCCAGCCCCTTTTTTAGGTCAGGGATGGATTTGTCTGGCACACTGGGTCCTGGCGCTGGAGCAGGGCGGGTGTTAAACCGCATGGAAGCCTTGCTCGCTAATGAGTCCAAATAATACAACGTCTCGGGTTCCCTCCTCCCTGTCCAAGCCCTTTGCTGTCATCAGGTCCTTCTCAGTCCTGTCCAGAGGTTTGTTCGCAGCTGCAGCGTCCCAGGAGATGGAGCGGTTTTCATCGGACACCGCTCTGGCTTGGCCTGGCAGCAGGAGCAGCCCCAGTTGCAGATCTGCTCTGTGGCCCGTCGGCTGCCTTCCTCCTCCTCCTCCTCTTCCTCCTCCTCCTCGTCCTCCTCGTCCTCCTCGTCCTCCTCGTCCTCCTCCTCCTCTTCCTCGCGGACCAGGCCGTGGGGAGGCGAGAGCCCGCCGGCCATGAGGGCCGAGCAGCAGCTGGTGTCGTATCTGCACACAGGCGGCTTAGCACAGGATTTTCAGCTGCGCTGGGTGGTTTTGGAGGCTGTCTCAAGCTGTCTACGGGATTCTTCTGAAAATTGCCCCCCTGGGACGAGGCTTTCTAACTCGCCTCACAGCTGGAAAGCTGCAGCCCGAGGCCTGGCCTGGCAGTGAGGCCTTCTGCCCGGCAGCTGGCAGCGTTGCCAGCTCTGCCACATTTTTTTGGGCAGCCTGTGGGATGGTGGCAATGAGGGGTCTCCACTGGCCTGGCAAGGAACATGAGTCCCTATGGCCTCGCCTGTACTGGGCCAGCAGGGTGGGGATGGGAAAGACTGGGGTGCTTCCTTCAGCCCCAGCTCATCGTCCCCCAAACCTTCATGGGCACACGGGCTGGCTGCACACCCTGATGGTGCAGGTGTCTTTAGGGGTGCTCGGGGCTGCTGGGCACTGCAGCAGCCTCCACACAGAGCAGACCTGACGGCCCAGCCCTCCAGGTCAACCCTGCCAGCTGTGGTTTCTTTTTCCTAAGGCACGTTGGGGAAAAAGGCTGAAATCTGAGAGATTTGTGGTGAAAAGGGGAAAAACAAACCCTGTCATCGTTGCGTTGCAACCTCATCTCGTCTTGTCCCATCTCATTTCATCTCATCTCAACTCATCATCTAACCTTTGTGTTCTGCCCCATCCCTTTCCACTCCGTCCTCCCATCCCACCTCCTCCAGGCATCCATGCCAGCCCCCCCGGGCAGCGCTCCCCTTGCCAGTGGTGCAGACCCACTGGTGGTGGAGGCCCTTTGGAGCATTTCCTTATCCAGGATGGATGTCGGTGAAAACAGAAACCTAATAAGTAAGATAAGGAGACGATTTATAATGGAGTTTGTGAACTTTAGGAAAAAGCTTTACAGCCAGATTTTGCAGACCACACAGGGAGAGGTTATACTCTCCAAAACCTTGGAGATTTTTTAAAAAATATTTTTATATTAAAAAAAAAAAGAGTTTCCAAGAATTAAATAACACGAAAGTGTATGAAATATGATGTAGGGAATGTTCCCATTGCTCTCACATCTGAAGTTAATTTGGGAGACGCTCTGAATAGCTTTTTAAAGAGTGGATAAACATTGGCATCAAAAGTGTAAATAAAGTTACCAGACAAAGCGGCCGTTCAAAGAGAATTGTCTCTGGGATATTGGCTGCGCAGTTTTAATGGCTGCACACAGGAACATTTGGAGATAAAATAAGGGCCTTGCTGATTAGCTCGGGAGTGAGCTTCTCTGCTTTGTCTCCCTCTCATGATGTCAATTGCAAGCAGTGCTGGCAGCCCTTCTGAAACCATTTCCTACCTGGAGGTAGCACTGGCGAGGGGTCCCGTGCCCATGAGACCCCGGCAGCCTCGCTGCCCCGCACCTGATCTTGGATGGCTCATTTCGGCTGCTGAGGAACGAGGCTTTTTTGTTTGTTTGCTTATGGCAGTGCTGGGGGTTGCCTGCCAGCACACAGGAAGAGAGAGGTGCTGAGCCCCCCGGAGCTGCAGTCACACACCTCCAAGCAGGAGCTGCTGAAGGCCCAGCTTTTAATTTGCTGAGTGCTGGGCTGTCCAAGGACCGATTGCGTATTTCATACTTGGCTATACCACAGCAAGATCTTTACTTTCATCTTTATGACTTTATTTCCCTTTTTGGAGGGTTGGTACTCTAATTACAGCGTGATGCTTCAGCTCATGGAGGCTTTGGATGGTCTGTACCACTGCTCCGTCTGATTATCCACCTCTGCTACTGCTCCATGCCTCTTGCTGTGCTTTTTGCAGCTCCCACGAGGAAGCTGTGTCCATTTTTAACCTTAAAAACTTTATATCTGGTGAGATATCAACCTCCCTGTGCATGATGGGGTGTGCTTCCATTCACCTCGGCCACGGGAGGCTCTGTCTGTGGTCACTGCTGAGAGGCTACCAGGCTGCTCCTGCTGCTGTCCAGTCCCTGGTGACACCGGAGTGCCACATCTTGCCTAGCCCCTGCCTGGGGAATTTGGCAGATCCACCAGGTGTATGCCGGGGCTGTTGCTCCCATTGCAGTGCCTTGTATAGCTGTGGTGACACCCTCGAGGAGACAGCTCTGAGATGCATTAGCTGTGCACTTTCATCTCGCGTGTGCTTCTGAAGCTGAGCAGCTCCTTGGTAGCTCTGTGAATCCCCCCGGCCCTGGATTTTTCCCAGCAGCAGCAGCAAGTCCTGCCTTGTCCTGCTTTCTTCTGGAGACCTTCGCTTCGTGGCCTTCTGGTGTCTCCTGCCAAAACAAACCTCTGTTGTGTCAAACCCTGACACCAGAGCACCAGAGGAAACAGGACGATTTGAAGTTTGACAAATAAGTGGAAGGAGTTACTGGCTTCTTCTTTTTAAAGAAAGTCTTTGCATTGGGGTGGAAGCAATGACACGTGTGTCTCCAGCCGAGCCCATGCTGGCACAGTCCAACAAACTGTCAGGGCTTGCACTGGGGGCTAAAAGCCCTCGGGGAGTGGAAGTGGCACCTTCCTCCTGGCTTCCCAAGTCAGGAACCTCATTCCCAGGGCAGGTGCAGTCAGCTCCAGCATGCTGGGGCCCTTGTATGTGGTGCCTGGGGCCAGCCACAGCCCTGAAATCCAGGGCAGAGACAGGCCCCGTGTCTCCTGGGAGGATGTCACCTCGTAGTCACCAACAAGACTTTACTTGTGTGTTTTTAAGATGGATAAACGTGGGAGGACAGGTTTACTCTGTCCTTTGCCTGGGTATAGCAGGGGTTAACACCAGCCATAACTCTTCTGATCATTTTCGTTTTTAGCCTTGACTCCGGAGTCTTTTTCCCAAGTGATAACGACCAAACCCTGTGTCCTCCTGGTCCCACCCTGCTGCTGCCACCCACGAGCCGCAGGAGCTCTCTCCATGCACCCTGTGCCAAGGTGGCACCCAGCAGGACCAGGCTGTTGCTCACCAGCTGGAAGGAGCACCTTTACCCAGAGATCGTGGCAAGGGTTGTGTTGCAAAAAAAACGAATAATTGCACTTGTGCTCGTCCTTTTCCTAGGAATTGCTCGTGAACAGCTCAGGTGTTTGAGAGGTGGAACTCCTGATGGAGGATTCGTGGGCGCCTTTGGGGTGGGAGAGAGCTCTGTGTTGAGGAGATGACCCTGAAGGAAGAGGAGGAGGAAGAAGAGGAGGAGGAGGATAACGAGGAGGAGGGAAGACAAAGAGGAGGAGGAGGATGCCGGGGGTGCAGGGTGTCACAGCAGGGTGCCAGCAGGCCGGGGGCCGGGGCAGGAGCTGGCCCTCCCTGCCCGCCCCAGCCCGTGCATCGGGAGGCACCGGCCTTCGTGCCACTTGTGTAAACTATTACAGCAAAGGGCAGAGGTTAAACGCAGCACATGTGTGGCATCAATTAACAGGATTTCAAGGTCTCTAGCGGAGTTTCTGTTCAAATCTCCTGTGGCAGGTTCGGTTTTCTTAACCCCTCGAATGCTGTGCGGTTGGCAGCCTTGGCT